GAAGGCCTGCGACAGGCTTCAGAGGCGCTAGCCCTCTACAAGGAGAAGTTTGGAGTCTAGCGTCTTCTAGTAAGGGCTTAGGGTTTAGGGTTTAGGGTGTAGGGTTTAGGGTTTCGGGTTAAGGGCGCAGGGTATAGGGTGTAGGGTTTAGGGTTTCGGGTTCAGGCTGAGAAGGTTGAGAGTAGCATCTTGTACTAAAGAGATATGCAGTATGTTACCTTGTTCTGGCGCCACAGATACTGGGGCCCGATGCCCTGAACTCTAAACCCTGAAACCAACTACTGTATGCCGAGGGCATTGGTGCGCTAACAAATGTTGGGATTCCAAGTTGGGAGGGTCAAGCTCGTGCTCAGGTGCTGAGTGGGTGGGTAATCTCTGACCGGTTTAGGGTTTAGGGTCTAGGGTCTAGCGTTTAGGGTCTAGGGTCTAGGGTTTAGGGTTTAAGGTTTAGGGGGTTTCCTTCAACCCTTCAACCCAAATGTGGTTTGGGGTTTCGGGTCTAGGGCTTAGGGCCCAAAGGGTTTGGCGCCCAAACCCCACACCTTTAGAGACCTGCCCCCCTCTCCTTATGAACATCTCCCAAGCCCCTAAACCCAAAAGCCAAAACCCTAAAAAGGCAATGTCACAGCTGCAGGAGCTAGAGCTGTGGACGTGCCACCATCTCAGCACGGGCTTTTGGGGGGTGCTATTGCAGTGTGATGCAAGGGGCGACTGGGAAGTGTCGATTTTTGCAAAGGCCTTCCATATCCAGGCCCTGATGTAACCCCAGACCCTCCGAACACCTACAGTTCGCGTTATATTGGGGTCCAATAATTGCTAACAGTTTTCCCTCATTGTCAATGTATAAAAGTACTCGAATAACCCCCAAAACTTTTCAGACCCCTAGATTAGGATTCTTGACTCCATTGAGGAGGTTAAGCAGAAACCCTAGCCCTAATGATTTGACTATAATACCCCCCCAAAACCTTGTCAGTTCTAATGTTAAGAACACTACATTAGGATTACACCGTTGAGGAGGTTAAGCATAAACCCAAATCCTAATAGCCCCGAGCTTGCCCGAGCCCCGTACCCTAACGTCCCGTTCGGGGCACCCACGTCACACGCAGCCCTAAACCCGAAACCCTAAACCCTAAACCCTTACCCCAAACCCTAAAACCCTAAACCCTAAACCCTAAACCCTAAATACCCTAAACTCTAAACCCTAAACTCTACATACCCTTCACCCTAAATACCCTAAACACCCTAAATTCCCTAAATACCCTAAATACCCAAAGTACCCTGAATGCGCTAAATACCCTAAATACCCAAAGTACCCTAAGTACCCTAAATACCCTAAATACACAAAGTACCCTAAATGCGCTAAATACCCTAAATACCCAAATTGCCCTAAGTACCCTAAATACCCTAAATACCTGAAATAACCCTAAATGCGCTAATTACCCTAAATACCCTAAGTACCCTAAATACCCTAAATTACCCTAAATACCCTAAACTCCCAGGCCACTGCTCCGTGGAGGTCAGCATGATGAGACTCAGGACTGGCTTAAGCTTGGATCCGAATCCCTAAACTCTGAACTCTGAACCCGAGGAACTATGTGTTATAACATATGTGTGTATATACATACACATATATATAATTGAAACATCGCATAATAATATAAATATGCATATAGATATAAAAATGAAAATATAAATATAAGTATAAATATAAATATAAATACAAATATAATCTCCATTATATAACACCAGGAGATATGAAACATAGAGTGTTTGTACCGTGGCTCTAAGCGGAGTTGAGTTGCAGGGTTTCGGGATTGCAGGGTTTAGAGGTTTAGGTGTTTTAGGGTTTGGGGTTTGGGGCTCAGGATTTGCACGCAGGGGTTAGGGTTTCAGGGTTTCATGGCTTTTGGGGTTTAGGGTTGGGGGTTGTGGTTTGGGGTTCGGCAGCTAGTGCAAAGAAGCAGCCATGGAAGCCACAAGACAGTGCCACATATGCGGATTTACGAACATAAGGGGACCCCTTATATAAGCCCCCAAATAGTAGGAGACCCTTATAATAAGGACCCCAATAAGGTGCCCCTAATCCGGAAACCCACCTTTGCAAATGAGATGAGTCTCCACAGACACGCGCTATTGTATGTTTGGCTTCAGACTCAGGATCGGGACTTGTGTTGGGTTTGGGACGTTCTTCCCTGCTTGTGGTTTGTAATGGGTCTCAAGCTTAGCACCCCCCCCCTTCAACTTAGAGCTAATAGCATAAGATCCCCGTTTTACCCCCAAGTACAGAAAAAAACCCAAAAAACAGGATCTCTCTTTTTACACCCAAAAAGATTATGGAGTAAAATCACTGGAAGAGGAATTCTCACGAGCCTGGCACCAGCACTCAACCAATAGAATTGGGCCTTTTGAAGATTCGGCGCTGCAAGCCCCAGGCCGGTTTAGGGTTTAGGGTTTCGGGTTTAGGGTTTAGGGTTTAGGGTTTAGGGTTTAGGGTTTAGGGTTTGGGGCTTAGGGTTTAGGGTTCGGGGCTTAGGATTTTATGGTTTGGGGCTTAGGGCTTGGATTCTCTAATCTCAAAAACCTTCAACTCCAGACCTTCCCCCGTGGCCTAACCTTTGTATAAGGCTTGTCTTCAAGTCCGGGCTTCGTGGGGCTTGGCACACCAAACCCCCAAAAAAGAGCCCCCGAACCCGATACCCCAAAGCCCACACCCCAAACCCTAAACCCCAAACCCTAAACCCTAAACCCTAAACCCTAATCCCAAACCCTAAAACCCAAACCGTGGCAGGCTGGAAAGCGAGCGGCCACTAGAGGCTGATGCTGTTTCGAAAGGGCCCATATGACCCGGGCTTGCGGTTAAGGGTTTGCGGTTTAGTGTTCTGGGGTAAGGGTTTAAGGTTTCGGGTTTAGGGTTTAGGCTAAGCCCTAAGTCCTAAGCCCTAAGCCCTAAACCCCAAACTCTACTGTCAACTCCTTACCATCTTAGGAGTCTCCAGCAATGCGCACGCTGAACCGGGAAGACGGCCTGTTCTTTCAATTGGGATCCTGTGGGTTGGTGCTCTTGATGCAATGGAAATGGGTTTATGGTTTAGGGTTTAAGGTTCACGTTGTAGGGTTTAGGGTTTTTGTTTAGGGGTCCATACCGTAACCCACTAAACCCTGGCATGTTTTCGTGCTTTCGAGCCTTTTGGGGTTTAGGGCTGTAGGGTCGCGTGATGTGCACCCAACCTTGAGTATCCCGCAACAGTCTGCAGCAGGCCATCCAGACAGGGGAAGAGGCAAGCTGGGGCTTGCAACGGCTCAGAGCCCTCAACCCTAAGCCCTAAACTTTAAACCTAAACCGCTAAATCCCAAGCCCTAAACCCTACACCCCAATCCCTCAACCCCAAGCCCTAAACTCTAAGCCCTAAACCCTAAACCTCAATGAACGCCAACAGCTCAATAGTGTTGAGGGCTGATTGCTTGGTACTCCCCCCCCAGGGAAGTCCCAGGGGATCCTTTTTAGGTATACGTAAGTTATAACGGCCCCAAGAAGTGGGTTATAGGTTGGGATGTTCCCCCTTATGCTGTCCTTCACAGGGCTTTTATGGCATTACAACAGGGGGTACTATAATCCCTATTAAGGACTGTAAGTGATAAGGGGGCCACAAGTTGGGCTTTAGGTGCTATGACTACAACTTGGCGTTACAAGCCCGCTGAATACCTTGTAGGGGTACCCCTATGCCTAAACCTTAATCCCAGAAGAGAGCCATGTCTTTTTTTTTGAGGGGAGGGGGGGGGGGGAAACCTAAACCCTCAAAGAGGCCAGTCCGCTCGCTCGGGTTTCAGCTTGCTTTGTCGCGGTAACCCCTGTCATCATATTTCGCCTCCTGTTCAAATGGGGCCTGCGATGTATAGAGCTCTTGGTTTAGGGTTTAGGGCTTAGGGTGTTGTGTTTTGGGTTTAGGGCTCTAGGGGCCTACTGTTTGGGTTTGGGTTCATCCTAAACCCTAAACTCAACAATCCTCCACCCTACCCCTAAATCTGAATTATGGGTCTTGCCGGAGACTAGACTAACCTGAGCCTTGACCCTCTCGGTCCCTGAAGCCCTGCAGAGAGGGGGTTCAGGGTTCAGGGTTTAGGGTTTAGGGTTTAGGGTTGAGGGTTTAGGGTTATTCAGGGTTCGGGGTTCGGGGTTAGGGTTTAGGGTTTAGGGTTGAGGGTTTAGGGTTATTCAGGGTTCAGGGTCTAGACCCTCCTCAAGACTCTGCCTCCTGTCAGGTTCTTGCGCTGTTGGACGGGGCGCGCTGCTCTTTGGACAAACCTCTGGTTAGAATTAAGGCTTTAGGGTTTAGGGTTTTAGGGTTTCAGGGTTTAGGGCTTAGGGCTTAGGGTTTAGGGATCTGGAGTGGCAGCCGTGACCTTGCCCAAATCCCCCGCAGTAGCCCAAGTAGGTTATGTAGCGACTAAAGGCGGCGCCCTGCTAAGCATCCTTAGGGGTTCTTTTTGGGTTATTTAGGGGCTGGACTGTACTAGGGCCTACTAGGGTTGTATAGGGGTGATATGGGGGAATAAGATTTGGGGGGTTCCTTCTAGGGGTCCTTATACGCCCTGAATGAACCTTCATCAATTTAAGCCTATCATCCCTGAGCCTTACTTGAAGGTTCATGGTACGTAGGGTTTAGGGTTTAGGGTTTAGGGTTTAGGGTTTAGGGTAGCTGTACTTATAGCCCAAAATATACCCAGATTAGGGCACTTAAGGGGTTTATAAGTGGGCTATAAGTACAATTATATTTGGTGTATAGCTGGACCTAAAGCACAAATAATCAGGACCCAGAACCTAATGGTAACAACCCTAAAGCTCTGCAGCCAAAAGCCTCAACTTCAGCCCTATAACCCCAAACCTCAACCCCTTCACCAAATGGTGAAACCCTAAACCATAAACCCTAAACCCTAAACCCTAAACCCTAAACCCTAAACCCTAAACCCTAAACCCTAAACCCTAAGCCCAAGGCAACGGCATGCTGAAGCTGGCGGCATTGGGTCTTCTTTGTCAGGCACATGTAGACTGCCACTTGGGCTCGGAGAAGCCAGAGGTAGGATTTAGGGTTTAGGGTTTAGGGTTTAGGGTTTAGGGTTTAGGGTTTAGGGTTTGGGCTCTAGGGTTTAGGGTTTAGGGTTTAGGGTTAGGAGAATGAAGGGTTTGAGGAGACGAGTTAGCGTCTCGCCTCCTTGCATATCAGACTACACAGGCCTCCCTTGAACCCCATATCGTAACCCTAAGCCCTGCCCCTCTTACTTGAACCTCTGAACTAGGTACTTTTGGGCTTTAGGGTTTAGGGTGTTTCGGGTTTAGGGTTTAGGGTATTTAGTGGTTAGGGTGTTTAGGGTTTCGGGTTTTGGTGTGAAGGGTTGAGGTAATATGTGGACCTTCGAGTAGGGACCTCAGAGGGGGTGTTCTATGTTGCAGGATAGGATACTAGAGGCAACTAGAATATTCTTAGGGTTCCTTGCTATGGGCCCTAAACCCACACGCCAAGAAGCCCCAAAAGCCCTGAGTCTTAAATCCCGTACACCCTATGGCAGCGAAAACGTGCTGAACCCCCGCATCTCTCTCTCTCTCTCTCTCCCTCCCTCCCTCCCTCCCTCTCTCTGTAGACTAAATAAACAAATCAAGAACCATCAATGTACACATATATATATATATATATACGCACACCTCATATACGCCCCGCAAGTCATGTCAGAGCCACCCTCTAGTAGCCTCTAGGCAACGACCCTTCTGCCGCGGCCCAGCGCGTCAAGGCCGCCGGGTCGCATTTCTCATGGCATGCCTCGGGTATGTAGGGTTTAGGGTTTAGGGTTTAGGGTTTAGGGTTTAGGGTTTAGGGTTGGGTCATAGGGTTTTGGGTTCATAAGGTTTATTGGGAGTAGAGGGTTTATCGGGTTTAGATGGTTTAGAGGGTTTATAGCGTTTCTAGGGTTTATAGGGTTTAAAGGGTTTAGAGGAAATATAGGGTTTAGAGGCATTCGAGGTTTTTTAGGTAGGGTACAGAGGGTTGAGAGGGTTTATAGGGTTGATAATTAGGGTGTATACGCAAACCCTATAAACCCTAAAAAGCCGATAAGCCCTACAAACCCTAAACCCTATAAACTCTATGAACCCTATGCACCCTAAACCCTAGACCCTGAACCCTAGGCCCTGTAAACCCGAAACCCGACAAACCATATAAACCCTGAACCCTAATCCCTAAACTCTCCAATCCCTAAACCCTAAACCCTAAACCCCAAACCCTAAACCCTAAACCCTGCAAACCCTGTAGACCCTGCCCAGGACATGCTGCCGCAGATGCAGCCGCGGGGTCCCCGGATCCATGCGCTGGTGCTGGACCAGCCCCGTGGCCGGCATAGTTTTGAGTTTGTTGGGAGTGGGGTCCCTAAACCCTAAACCCTAAACCCTAAACCCTGAACCCTGAACCCTGAACCCTGAACCCTAATCCCTAAACCCTCAACCCTAAACCCCAAACCCCAAACCCTAAACCCTAAACCCTAAACCCCAACCCTGAACCCCAAACCCTAAACCCTAAACCTCAGATCTAGAAGCAATGGATTCGGGGGTGTTCAGGATGGATCTTCAATTCTCGGCTTCTTGGTGGGCCTTTGTTTTTGATATTCCAAGAGAGAGACTTATGTTTTGGCATGTTCCCCCTGATACTAGCAGTCCTTAAACGGAAGAATAAGTATAATAATCATAAACAATAATAATCATAATAATAATAAGTTGTATCATAACGATAAAACTAAAAATAATTTAATAATAACAATAATAATAGTAGAGAGTACAATCCTTATTAGGGACTCTTAGTATAAGGGGGAACATTCCAACTTATGTCAGTCTAGTCCCAGGCTGGCAAATCCTGAGGTCCCTTTTCTAAGAACCAGTATGTTACTACTCTAAGATCCAGTCGCCGAACGTCAGTTGAACGCTAAACCCTAAACCCTAGACCCTGAACCCTAAACCCTAAATTACTAAACCCTAAGCCTTAAACCTTAATCCCAAACCCTAAGCCCCAGTCCTCGCCCAACAGAGAAGGTTGGCCGGCGTGCTGTCCGAATATCAGCCAGAGAAGGCCTTCACCGCCCCCTGGTTGGCATGGTGTTTAGGGCCGCGCGAGGGCAAGGCTTGAGGGAGTTAGGGTTAGGGTGTGTAGGGTTTAGGGTTTAAGTTTTAGGGTTTGGGGTTTAGGGTTTAGGGTTAGGGTTTACGGTTTAGGGTTCAGGGTTTAGGTTTTAGGGTTTAGGGTTTAGGGTTTAGGGCGTGTGGCAGTTGAGAAGCTTAGGGTTTTTTCGGGAGAAGGTACGGGTGCCAGAGGTTATTCATTTTCGGAGACCGATGGCTCGCTTCTGTTATGGTGTTCCTGCGAAGAAGGGAGGGTTTAGGGTTTAGGGTTTAGGGTTTAGGGTTTAGGGTTTAGGGTTTAGGGTTTAGGGTTTAGGGTTTAGGGTTAGAGTTCAGAAGCCCCCAAAAAGGAGATCTCTCGGGCCCTGGCCCTGCCGGCAGCGGCAGACGAAGACTTGGAGGCCCAGCTGCGGCTCAGGCTCTCCACGGTGGAGGCGCGCGTCTTCGGGTTTGGGGTTTAGGGTTTAGGGTTTAGGGCTTGGGGTTTGCAGTTTGGGGTTTAGGGTTTGGGGTTTGGCGTTTAGGGTTTAGGGTTTGGGGTTTAGGGTTTAGGGTTTGGGGTTAGGGTTTAGGTTTTAGGGTTTAGGGTTTGGGGTTTGCAGTTTGGGTTTAGGGTTAGGGTATAGGGTTTAGGCTTGGGGTTTAGGGTTTAGGGTCCAGGGTTTAGGGTTTAGGGTTTGGGGTTTAGGCTTTGGGGTTTGGAGTTTCGGGGTTTAGGGTTTAGGGTTTGGGGTTTAGGGTTTAGGGTGTTTGGGTTTAGGGCGTTTGGGGGTTTATGGTTCAGGTTGTAGGGTGTCTGGGGTCTAGGATTTGGGGTTTAGGGTCTCGGCCGCTTTGCAGGTGGCCAGAGGCAACGACGACGAGGCGCTTCGAGCCATCGAGCGGGCGCTGACGCTGTGACCCGGCCGAAAGCCTTAAACCCTAAACCCTAAAAACCCCTAAACCCTAAACCCTAAATCCCAAGCCCTAAACCCTAAACCCTAAACCCTACACCTGGGTTTGGGGATCGAATTCTGGGTGTCGAGGCTTGAGGTCGCTTTGGCGATTTGAGGTCTGAGGAATGCGGGGGACTTTGTTCAATATTATTCGGCCTAAGCCCTGAACTACTACACCCTACACTACTAAGCCTTAAACCCCAAGTCCCATAAGCCCTAAACCCTAAACCAAACTAAACCCCAAAACGCGATTCCCGGAGTGGGGGTGGTCGTTAGCGTGTCAAAGCTTATCGGTCTCATGGTTTGGGTTTGGATTAGGGTTTTGAGTTTTGGGTCTTGGGTTTGGGTTTTGTTCGCCCCTTTTTGCTCCAAGGTAGTCGCGATCTACCACAGGGGTTGGTTGATCTACATCTGGGCGGTAACATACAGACAGGACAGGGCCGTCGCACATCAAGCCCCTCTCTTTGCGGCGCAATGTGCAACACCCACCGTGAACACCTTAAGCCCTAAACTCTAAACCAGGGTAAACACCCTAAGCCCACAGCCCCAAACCCTAAACCCTAAACCCTAAGCCCTAAGCCCTAAACCCTGAACCCCTAAACCCCTAAACCCCCGATAAACCCTAAAGAAAGCGCAGGTGGTAAACTAAGCTAGCCAAACAAGGGTGCCCTTATTTTGATATGGTTACTGGGCTACCCCTAAACCCTAAGCTCTAAAACCTAAACCCAGGTGGAGCCAGCATGAGGAGCGTGCGGAGGCGAGCATGGCCGCCCGCTACCTCTCTGTGGGAATCCTCCTGCGCATGTTCGACCCCAAGGCTCCTTCTTGGGTCTTTAATTTTATAAGGTCTTTTAGGGTTTAGGGTTTAGGGTTTGGGGTTTGGGGTTTGGGGTTTAGGGTTTAGGGCCCAAGTTTAGGGCTAGGGTTTTTTTTGGGGTTTAGGCTTAGGGGGCGTTTTGGACATCTAGGATACAGAGGTTTGGGGAGCAAGAGGCTGCATCATCAAGGGTCAAGCTTATGAATGACGCTTGAGGGACTCTCTCCGTTGACTAGTGCCCTTCTCAAAACTTCACCCACTCGCTTTACACTATGCATTCAGGCTTTAGGGTTTAGGGTTTCAGGGTTTAGGGTTTAGGGTTTCGGGTTTAGCGTTTAGGGTGCAGGGTTTAGGGACGCCCAGTAGCACATCTGGTCTTTCCTTACAAACGCCATTCACAACTCCAAAGGGCACCCCCCTGTCCTCTTCGAGATTTCTGGGAACCTAGTGCTCGGCTTTTGGGTCCGGGTTTATGGTTTTGGGGTGTATGGTTTAGGGTTTAGGGTTTAGGGTTTAGGGCTAGGGTATAGGGTTTAGGGTTTAGGGTTTAGGGTTTAGGGTTTAGGGTTTAGGGTTTGGTTTAGGGTTTAGGGTTTAGGGTTTAGGGTTTAGGGTTTAGGGTTTAGGGTTTAGGGTTTAGGGTTTAGGGTGGAGCCTGACTCTGGAGAGGACGCGCTGCGAGAGGCGAGCCAAGTTAGAGCCTTCTTCGAGGACGAGGGCGACAAGCACCTCGAACATCCCTCGAATTGTGTTGGGGGTTTAGGGGTGGCCCCAAGGGTCCATGCGTAGGTAGGGTTTAGGGTTTAGGGTTTATAGGGTTTATAGGGTTTATAGGGTTTATGGGGTTTATAGGGTTTGTAGGGTTTGTAGGGTTTATGGTGTGTAGGGTTTAGGGTTTAGTGTTTAGGGTTTAGGGTTTAGAGTTTAGGGTTTAGGGTTTAGGGTGTGCATATATAGCACAGTAGACTTCGGCCTCAAAGGGGTTCCCATATAGTAGCTTTAGGGCCCAAGCATTTTTCGGGTACAGGGATCCTTAGGGTAAGGTGTTAGGGTTTCGACTAGGTTGCCTCTGTAAAGTCGCTGTTGGGCTTGGTGCTTTGAAGCCAAGGGATCATGTAGAGTAACTTCGTACTGGCTGAACAATCAGGTCAATATTCGTCCCCCCCCCCCCCCCCCCCAATCAGGGTCAGGGTTTAGGGTTTAGGGTTTAGGGTTTAGGGTTTAGTGTTTAGGGTCATGGCTATAGTGTTTCGGGCGCGGCCCTCCCCTCCAATGACTTCTGCAATAAACTAACTTAGCCTGCACGAAACCTGCTGCCACTTCTGTCCCGAACCTGCAGGAGAGTCATAGGCCCAGTACTAACGTCATAAGCCCCCTGAACTGCAGATAGTACAGTTTTGGGGGCCTCTCCTTGTAATCTCACTTTCATTTACGCCTGGGGCAGAGGCAGACCTAGCAAACACAAGAAAGCGTGCTCTCCGCTGCGACGTGTCGTCAAGTAGCTCAAAACCCCTAAACTCTACACCCAAGCTAACCCCCGAAGGGGTGGCAAATATGCCTGGGGTTAAGGGTTCAAGGTGTCGGTTTAGGGAATGGAGCAGATCTAGAAATAAGGCAACTTAGGCAAATTCCGTCCCCTAAGCCCCAAACCCCAAAGCCAACACAGCCAAGCTCCCCAAGCCTAAAGCCCTCGCTAGAGTAATTCATACAAGAAAACGGATTTCGGGTTTCGGGCTTAGGGTGCTCTTGGCATCAAGAGCTTCTTTGAGATACATGTACCGCCGCTGTCCCGGCTAAGGTATCGCGCTGGTATGGCGCTGGTGGCCGTTGCGACCATTGCCTATGCCCGAGGAGGATCGGAGTGGGTGATGTAGAGTGTAGAAGCAGTTTTTTTATGGGCTTAGGGTTGAGGGTTGAGGGTTCTGGGTTTAGGGTTTAGGGTTTAGGGATTTTCGGGTTCAGGAAGGGGGCCTCGAGAAAGACCGCTAATTCTTATGAGTACACATGTCACTCCGCGGAGGGTAATCGGATCAGTGCACTGGATGGCAGCGTGAAATATCGGGGTCGGAATGTATAATTTCTAATCGTTTTCCCTTAATATCCCTATATAAGTATCCTAGAAGAGTATCCTCTGCAAGCTCGCGCGCCAAGCCAAATCTTGCTCTAAGAGCGCTCTGAATCTCTGTTTCCCCTGGTGGCCCGGTTCCAGATGAGCCCCCATGAAAGCCCTAAACACTAAATCCTAAACCGAAGCCAAGAAGTTCTGCCCACTGCTGTCCTCAGTAAGAGCCCAACAAGTTAGACCCCAATTTGGATCCGCAACCCAAGACCCCAAAGCCTTGAAGCCCCACAAGGGCTCTCGGTCGAACCCAAAGCCCTGACCCCTTAGTATGGATGTATGGTATATTTGATAATTCTGGTATAGCATAAAATAGGATATTATGTTTAGTGTGTTTTTATGTAATTTGTCATTATGATTCTTTATTATTCATTGTCAGACACTTACCCCTTGGCCCTGCGAGGATTCGACGAAGCCATTGACTCTTTGCAAGTCGCCAAGGAGATTTTAGAGGTTTAGGGTTTAGGGCTTCTTTTCGTGGATTTCTTGCATTCATTAGCAGCATACTCAGTTAGAAGATGGGCCTGTGTCCCCCTGTGAGCGTCTCCCTTTCGGATCCTATGCAATCAAGACTCAAACGTTTTGGCCAATGACATCGTGGACGACTCGGCTTGTGAATGGAAGCTTGAGGCCATGGCTTGGAGTGGCCACGGGTTTAGGGTTTAGGGTTTAGGGTTTAGGGTTTAGGGTTTAGTGGCAGACTGACGACCTGCCCAGCTAGCCAGCGAGGCCCCATCAGAACATGCTGGGTTCCTTTCCCGGGGCGACAATACACTGGCGATGGAACAGTGTACTGGAATACCTGCCGGATGCGCAGACTGCTCAGACATAGACTATCAGAAGGGTTTAGGGTTTAGGGTTTGGGGTTTAGGGCTTAGGGTTTAGGGGAGTTGTGGTTTCGAGATTCAAGGTGCAGATTCAGTAGGACGGTGCCTGATCAATTCAGCTGTTGAATGCACAGGTAGCCTGGAACCTGTTGGGGTACGTATCTTAAGCTCCCTTGGAGCCCAAGATTGAGCTTTCCTTACTAGCCCTATACACCCTAAACCCCAAACCCTAAACCCCAAACCCCAAACCCCAAACCCTAAACCCGGAACCCTAAACCCTAAACCCTAAACCCTAAGCCGGTCAGCTAAGTACGGTACCTTGGGCACCAGTCAGCAGGGAGTCGATCTGCGGCCCTCCGTGTCCTCAGAGCGGAGTCTCACAAGAGACTGGGTTTAGGGTTTAGGGGTTGCGGTTGGGGTTTAGGGTTTAGGGTTTAGGGTTTAGGGTTTAGGGTTTAGGGTTTTGGGTATAGGGTTTAGGGTTTAGGGTTTTGGGTATCGGGTTTTGGGTTTTTGTGTTTTGGGTTTAGGGTTTAGGGTTTAGGGTCTAGGGTTTAGGGTTTGGGGCTACAGGGTTTCTCGCGTGCTGGCAAGGAGCTCTTCGAGGCCGCGAAGGACGACTTGGCGTCAAGTGCGGGCAATGTGGAGAGTTTTGGGGAGCCTGCTCCAACCCCTAAACCCTAAACCCTAAACCCTAAACCCTAAACCCTAAACCCTAAACCCTAAACCCTAAACCCTAAACCCTAAACCCTAAACCCTAAACCTAAACCCTAAACCCCAAAGCCAAAACAACCCTAAACGACTTGATCAGCAACAACAGCGGCAGCTGGCCAAGAACGCCCACTGCCCAAGCTCGCGCATCTAACTCCTCACACCCAAATCCCGAGCTGTATAGGGTTTAGGGTTTAGGGTTATGAGACCTCGATGGTCCTTTTTTGGGTACCCTAATGACCATATCAACTCCTGAACCCTAAACCCCAGTCAGCCTTATTCTTCCTGCTTTCTTGTGGAACCCTAAACCCCAAACCCTAAGCCCAAAGCCCCCAACCCTCTTCCCAAACCCTCGAAACCCTAGGCCCAAAGCCCTAAACCCTAAACCCCTAAACCCTAAACCCCAAACCCTAGCCCTAAACCCTAAACCCTAACCCTAATCCCTGAACAGGATCCCAAGGGCCAGGCGTTGGCACTTGCCACACTCTCCGAGCTCTACCGGGGTACGCAGCGACATCAGGAGCAGAGGGTTTAGGCGATTAGGGCATTCAAGGTTTCAGGTTGCAGGCCCTTTAGACCTTCAGGGTTCCCAAACCCTGCATCCCTAAGCCCTAAGCCCTGAGCCATGAGCCCTAAACTCTAAACCCTAAACCCGCTGGGAAGGAGGCTTTGGAGGCTTCCTTGCGCCACAAGGCCTTGGCGCAGGCGCGTTGCGCAGCGCCTTGTTTTACAGCGTGTCTCAGGGTCTAGAGTTCAGGGTTCAGGGCATAGGGTTTAGGGTTTAGGGTTTTGGGGGGTTTATAGGGCTTAGGCTTCAGTAGGGTTCAGGGTTTAGGGTTCAGGGTTTACACGGTTCATCTGGTTAATGGCGTTGAGAGGGCAGAGTGTTCAGAGGGACTACAGGTCTCATGGGCTTTGAGGATTAGGGTGTAGAGCTGACTGCCAATCAGTTATCTTACAGGATTCCCTATAACCGGTTTAAGTTTTAGGGTGTGCCCTTTGGGTTCAGGGTTCAGGGTCTAGGGCCGAGGGCTTCGATAGAATCCTAACAGCTCTGGCAGCCCTGCCTACCGAACAACAACTCGGCCCTTCCTTTCCCTAAACCCTAAACCCCAAACCCCAAACCCCAAACCCTAAACCCTAAACCCTAAACCCCAAACCCCAAACCCTAAACCCCAAACCCCAAACCCCAAACCCTAAACCCTAAACCCTAAACCCCAAGCCTGGCTCAGGTTCCCTCGTATGCACAAGAAAGGGTTCTAATGCTCCAGGGGCAACTCCCGGGCCTAGCCCTAAACCCTAAACCCTAAACCCTAAACCCTAAACCCTAAACCCTAAACCCTAAACCCTAAACCCTAAACCCTAAACCCTAAACCCTAAACCCTTGCTTGACCCCCCAGAAACGGAAGGAGTCGGGCTTCAAGGAGGACGAGATCAAGGCCCTTACGGTTTTGGCAGGCCTCCACCGCCAACTGGAGGATTTCAAGGCGCCAAAAAACTGCTGGGTAGATGCTGTTGGGCTTAGGGCTTAGGGCTTAGGGCTTAGGGTTTAATTAGGGTTTAGGGCTTATGACGTGCCTTATGAGGCCTGAACATTTCAAGCGCACGTTGCCTGCCTAAGATTCGAAGGGGGTTATGCTGCACGCCCTCAAACCCTAGAACCACCAAAAACCCAAAGTTTCATACCTTCTCAACCCCAAGCCCTAGCCCCCCTGAAACCTTAAACAATATACCCTACTAAACCCCAAACCCCGAACCCTAAGCCCTAAACCCTAAACCCTAAAACCCTAAAACCCTTAAACCCTTAAACCCTTAAACCCTAAACCCTAAGCCTAATCCTAAACCCTAGACCCTAAACCCTAAACCCTGAACCCTAAACCCTAAACCCTAAACAGCAGGCGGGTGGGCGCGCTGCGCGCGAGGGCCTGCGCCTGGCCAAGCACGCCGGGCTCCAGGAGCAGCAGGCAGGGCTGGAAGGTTTTAGGGTTTAGGTTTAGGGCTTAGGGTTTCGGGTGTGGGTTTAGGGTTTAGGGTTCAGGTTTGGGGTTCAGGGTTCAGGGTTCAGGGTTTAAGGTTTCGGGCTTAGGGTAAGCCCTAAGCCCTAAGCCCCAAAACGTATACCCTAAACCCGATTTAGCTTTCGAAGCTTTCAGCTTGTTTTGTGTTTCGGGTTTGATGTTTAGGGCTACGAAGGCGACAGTCGGTTGTGTGGCGGAAGCGCGACTGTCACCTCAACAAGTTGCTGCCATTGTCGCTCCTGCAGTTTTCCCAATAGGACTGGGAATGGGGACCGGCTAAGCCCTAAAGCCTAAACCCTAAACCCTAAACCCTTAGATGACAGGGCTTTAGGGTTTAGGGCTTGAGGGCTTCGAGGTGTTGAGGTTCAGGGTTGAATTCGGGCGATGGGAACTCTAGAGCTTGAGGCTTGTAGGGTTTAGGACTTAGTCTAGGGCTCAGCGCTTTGGGTGTCAGAGCTCGAACTCAGGGTTTTGGGCTTAGGTTCTTCCATGAGGGGCAGCTTGGGGTCCGTGGTCTTTTGCCTAAAAACCTTAAACCCTAAACTCACGCGTTCAGCATTGAGGATCAGAACCCTCGATTGACTACATAAGAACCCCTAAACCCTAAACCCTAAACCCTAAACCCTAAACCCCTAACCCTAAACCCTCAAAGAACTCTGAACTCCCTAAACTTCCGAAGTTCCCTAAACTTTCTAGATTCCCTAAATGTCAACTTCCTGAACTCCCTAAGTTCCCTATGTTCCAGAAACTCCCTAAATTCCCTAAACCTAAACATTCCCTAAAGTCTTTAAAGATGTCCGAAAATTCCCTAAACCCTTGCTGTCTTGAGGTGCAGCTGCTGTTGCAGTGCATCCAGTGCAGCCTCACAGCGGTCTCGTATGGGAAATCCCGGGTGTCCCGCAACATGATGGAGGATCTGGTTCGCTGTTGTGGGTTTAGGTGGAAACCCTAAACCCGGTTTAGGGTTTAGGGTTTAGGGTTTAGGGTTCAGGGATTTGGGTTTTTAGGGTTCAGGGTTTAGTAGGTTTAGTAGGTTTAGCAGGTTTAGTAGGCTTAGTAGGTTTAGTAGGGTTAAGGTTCTTTGGCGTAGACCCCAACTCCGAAGTCCTGTGCCAGACATTTTCGAGGAGACGACGCGGCTAGCTCGGGAAGCCGTGCAGCTCACTTCGGGCGAGGTCCGGGGAGTTGGGAGAACCCGCGAGTGAAAGTGTTTAGGGTTTTAGGGTTTGTAGGGTTCTAAGGGTAGTAGTAAGTTAGATATCTCATACTAGGGTCCCGAGCCTACTTTAAAGGGTTCTCAAGTATCGTCCCTTCGTTTTTATGGGGAATATAAGGGGTATACAGGGGGTCCCTATTTTGCGGGTAAAAGCCTTACTCCCACTTTACCTGCTACGCATTCCACAAGCCGTGGTCAGGAGCCCCTACGATTCCCTGGTAAAGAGTTCCCCTTTTTTCAGGTTGCGGCTCCGTCATAAGGCTTTAACCCTAGACCCTAGACCTAAACCCGGCAAGTACCCAATCTAAGTCACACACACACACTCGTATCATTTCAGTATCCTTGAGCACTGTACTAGAGGCCCCCAAGCCTTAAACCCCAAAGCTTTGGATGCTCCGCCTGAAAACAGGCCTTACTCGGGATTACAGTACCCCTTGCGATGATCCCGATTAAGGACTGTTCCCCCTGAAACTAATAGTCCTTAATAGGGATTATAGTACCCTCCCGGTAAGGACTGTTAGCACAAGGGGGAACGTCCCAACCCTAAACCCGAAACGCCCTGAATCCTACAAAGCCCTAGTTGGAGCTGCAAGGCTTCGGGTACTACATGGGGCCCCCGATTTTCCCTACAGTTTTATGGGTGATACCTACTAAGTAAGTGTAGTTCCTACGAATGTGTAGGTAAAG